TTAGAAGATCAGCCCCATTGATACCCCATTGACACAAGTGGGACCTTCTTTTCCATACTTTTCTTCAGGGTCAAAGTGACCCTAATTACAAGTTTTGGACCTGATCCCAACTTTTATTTTCTCTAAAAGACTCAGAGGGGCATTCCGACAGCAAAACCTATATTATTCTAATCATGGATAAAATGTCTGAGCAACTGGATGGTTTCATTTAAAATTCACTTTAGAAAACCATATTCATATGAAAATATAGTCTTTCCCCTTTTTCTTGAGATTTGTTCTAGGATTTCTTTGATTTCTATTTGTTAAGAATGAGCCCCTTCTGACAACTTTTACATCTTTTAATTTAATTTTATTTCTTTCATATTGTTCTTCCACAGTAGCCTATAGTGTTGTAAATTTTGCCTCTCAGCATGCAAAGGTCAGAAGAAAACAAGAATTTGCTAGCCATGATAAAGCCTCCCCTTGCCCCATTCCATTGTTAGTCATTTTTTTTTTGCTTTAATTTATATGCCGCCCTTTTCCGGAGACTCAGGGTGGCTTACAATGCGTTAAGCAATAGCCTTCATACTTTTTGTATATTTATACAAAGTCAGTTTATTGCCCCCACAATCTGGGTCCTCATTTCACCTACCTTTGAAAGGATGGAAAACTGAGTCAACCTTGAGCCTGGTGAGATTTGAACTTGCAGTAATTGCAAGCAACAGATGTTAATAATAGTGTATTAGTCCACTGTGCTACCAATATTAAATCCTTAATATTAAATTTAATATTCCTTTGCCATAAAATAATTTACTTTTATTGTTATTATCTTTTCAGACAGTATTCTGCATAGAATAATCTATTTCTATAATTTTCAAAAATAGATGGCTAATGATATATATGTTAATATTAAAAATTATAGCATATAAAGGTTTTGGTATATATTAGCTATGACAGATATTAATCATTATACCTTGCAATGATCCTATAGTTACATACTATTAATATTAATGTTTTAAATATTTTTTCTCATTGTATATAAGAATTAATTTCTATTTCAAGACATATATTAATACAGTAACAACCACTTACCACTAACCCGGCCCAGGAAAGAAAAAGATGAGAGATCAAAGAGAGATAGAGCCAGATAGACAGATTGAGAGATCGCGATTCAGTAGATAGAAGAGATAGAGATGATAGAGACAGAGACAAAGAGATAGCTAGATAGATAGCTAGATAGATAGCTAGCTAGCTAGATAGATAGATAGATAGATAGATAGATAGATAGATAGATAGATAGATAGATAGATAGATAGATAGATAGATAGATAATGGAGATGATGGTGATAGACAGATAGACAGACAGAGCTGAAAGCCAACAGGAGAACATTGAAGAGAATGGGGAAAATAAAATGGAGCAGTTTGGCTTCAGCTAAGAGGCAATCCAGTAATTCTCCCTGGCATCACAGACAGTTATTTTGTGAAGAGCCACCCCCATCCCCAATTTAAGTCTTTTCCTTAAAGAAAATGAAGATGGGAAAGAGATCTGGTACCAGGAAATGGAAACCATTGATATTTTTAAAAACAAACAAACAAACAACAACAACAACAAAAGGATAAAATGAATCACTAGGCTTACGTAGATATCAGGAATTACCTTTCAAATCTGTTGTTTGGTGGTTTAAAGAAAATGTATGGTTCAAATATAGTGATAGTTGTAGATATGATTGCACTAATCAGGAAGTCTCCTGGCTTGTAGTAATTGAATCTATGTTCTTCCTCTTTCTGCACATTCAATGGGCATTTGGTCCTCATTGTACCACAGGGAAAGTGGGACACCAGGAGAAGAAGCAGCAGCAGCAGCAGATTTTCACATGTCATGATGGAGATCTTCTGTAGTTCTCTGACACAGGCACCACTGTCTTTGGCCTCAGAGCTGTTTAAGAAAGCTGTCTTGCCAAAGCCGACTTTATTAATAAAGATAAAATGAAATCCGGCACATTAAAATGAGCAAGATTACATCCAGACTTGCACAGACCTGCCTAAAGTAGTCTCACACCTGCTCTCCATAGTCCTTGTGGACCACATTTTTAGATATTTTTAATAAGTGTTCATAAATGTTTGTCAAATCTGTTGTTGATGAGTGGTGCGTATGAGGGATTTACTACTATGCATAAGGGGAAAAAAAGCTTTGTATGACTCATGGGCATAGTTCTAATTTAAGATTTATCAAAACAACAATTCAGGTAACTTTTTATTCCCTTCACCCAAGAGACTTATTCTTAACAGAATAACAGAATCTGAGAGACATGTCTTTGAAAGAAATACATCAATGAATTGAGTAAACTTTTAATGAGCCAAAAAGTTTTTTATTGATAGAAAAGAATATCAGTTGTCTGCTGGAAATGAGTTAGTCGTTTTTCTTCTTCTCTGCCTCAATGTTCATTAGTAAGATCTGATTCCCAGACTCAGGAATGTCCATACACATCTCCAACTCAAAAAACTGGGTTTGGGTGCTTGTGGCCTATGCAGGATCAGGGTTTAGATATGGCTCAGTTACCTGTTTAAATGATGTTGGCCATATGATGGCACTTTCATTGATGAAGCGCTTGATTTCCAAAGAGGCCACACTTTCTATCGTTCCAATTTTCACTCCAACATGACATTGGTTGGGAAAGAAGTACTGAAATAAGGAGACTTTTAGCAGACCAAAAATCCTTTATTGATAGAAAACAACATCATTTTTTTCTTTTTTTGTTGGAAATGAGTTGAACCCCCCCCCCCGAGGTGGGATTCACTTACCTTCCCTACTGGTTTGCAAATCTGAGTGCACAGCCTTCTGCGCATAAATAAATACATACATATATATATACATACATACATACGTACATACATACATACATACATAAATCAAAGCATACCTGCTGTAAGGTCTTGCCAATCTTCCCAAGAAAGCAGGACTCTTGAAACTGCAGTTGTTCCAAAAGGAGCTTTTATTGGAAGGTTTGTGATAACAAGAGATCTAGGCAAGAACTGAAGCTTCTCACTTAAAAGCAGCTATTTAAAGCAATGCTAACCAAAACCCCTCCCACACTACATCATTGCAGGGAAAAAGAAACTTCATATAGAGATTAACACAGTAATAAAAGAAACAGAAACATCATATACAGATCATTCCATTCCTCCCCCTATCCTCCCACCAAAATGCCAGCATCCCTGTAGAAATATCTGGGACCTGACACCTGTTCTGCAAGTCCAAAATTTAACTTCTTTTCCTCCGTCTACTCACTTCAAAGGCTAACTCACACCAGCGGAACAGCAGCAGCCATGTCAGGCCACTTGAGGTTGCTCAATATAATTTTTACATGAGGGGAAATCATTTGTCAATCATGTTGAAGGTTGAGTGTGAGGTATGTTGTTACTTTTCATTTCATATTATTGGTTTTCTCAGTTATAACTTTGGACTTAGTAATTTGCTCATACAAATACTCTCCTTCCCCTCTTTTAACAGAATAATAGAGTTGGAAGGGACCTTGGAGGCCTTCTAATTCAACCCCCTGATCAAGCAAGAAACCGTATACCATTTTAGACAAATGGTCGACCAATCTTTTCTTAAAAACCTCCAGTGATGGAGTATCCACAACTTCTGGAGGAAAGTTCTTTCACTGATTAATTGTGTTCACTGTCAGGAAATTTCTCCTTAGTTCTAGGTTGCTTCTCTCCTTGATTAGTTTCCATCCGTTGCTTCTTGTCCTGCCTTCAGGTGCTTTGTAGAATAGGTTGGCCCCCTCCATTTTGTGGCAGCCCCTGAGATATTGGAAGACAGCTATCATGTCAGTCTTAGTCCTTCTTCTCATTAAACTAGACATACACAATTCCTGCAGCCGTTCCTCATGATTTAGCCTCCAATCCCCTTCTTTTCTGCACGTGATCCAGACTTTTCTGACTGTTACTGTGAAAATATTATGTGCTGAGATGAAGACACCAATCTCAATTCACGGTGTTTTGAATTAAACAAAAAATTTGGAAGAATTGGCTATGCTATAATGAAAGAAACAAAAGGGGGGGGGGATCAACTCATTTCCAGCAAAAAAAAATTGATGTTGTTTTTGTCACAAGTAAATGCCTTATTCTTCATTATGTAAATAGTACATGATCAGGGTATCAGGGGTTAACTTATTCTTCATTACTTAATGTATTCATATTTCACCACTCCCATATCTAGCTCCACCCATTGTATATATAAGGAGCTGTATGCATTCCTTCTGTGCTTCTATCTGTGATTATTCAGTGAATATAGAATGCCTTCTGTAAATAAACAGTGTTTTATTTGAACTTCTTATTCTCAACTTATTTATTGAGTCTGATCCTGAAAATATCGTAACAATCTGGTAGCAGAGGATGGTTGAATTGACTCAATAAAAATAAACATGTCTAAGAAAGAAAACTTCAAGAACGATAAAGAAATAGAAAGCAACAATCTCAGATCAGAGATACTGAAGATACTAAAAAAACAAAAGGATGACTACAATCTCATCGCGGAACTCCGAAACATCTTGAAAGAAAACGGAGCAGTGAGAGAGAATGGCATCGAGACAGCTGAATTCAAAGAACCAAAAATGGTGAGCGAGCCATCTATAAAAGAAAAAATGACAAGAAGAAAGAACAGAGGTCCCGCTCAAAATTTTGAATGGCAGCCATCTTGTTTTCAACTGACCATTGAGACAAGCGAAGCAGAGCCAATCATGATACACCATTCAAAATCTCTGGCGCGAAAAACACCACACAATACAAAAAATAGTAAAGAAAATCTTTATTTTTCAGAAGAATCAGATACGGATGCAGAAGAAACATCTATTAAACTGAAAGTCGAAACAACCATGAGACAACTATTTAAAACATTTGGTCCAAATTTAAAAATAGCAAAAAAATCGACGGAAGCCAATAATTCAAAAACAAAAAGAAGACAAGCAAGCAAACAGACAACTCAGAACATATCCAACTCAATTCGTACAGAAAGGATGACAACACCTGAGCCCAGAGGACCCTGCAGGTTTTCTCCCACGCCGCAGACGGTTCCAGGGGTGGAGAGCTTCGAGCGGAGCGACTCTGGCGAAAGAAGGCGAGCATCAGCTATCGGCAGAGCGATCAAGGTAGAGACGGAGACCGAATCATCGGAGGAGGAACATTGCGAAGGAACTGCGGCGACGGAGGCTTCTCCTGGCGACTTCGACAGAGAAATGAACAACGCGCATGCGCAGATGAACACAGAGAACTACGGAGGACATTATGAAGAGGAAGGACCACTCAGGCTAATTCACAGAATACCCACACCATTCTGTGACTTTCAACACTTACGAGACCATGGACTACCCCCAGTTGTAAGTAGTGGGGATAACAATATTGGGGACTTACCTAACGATTTCCCAAAACTTAGAATTGATGGCACTAATTTACAAGAATGGTATCAGCATCTTCAGATTGCTTTTATAAAAGAGAACTTACTATCCTTTATTACTAACCCCCCCAAAAGACCCTGGACTCTTAAATTGGACTACCTACACCACAGGGCATTTTTCTTATTAATTTCCAGTATATCTCCTGCCATGTATCACAGTATTAAGCAAAATCTGACTGTCTCAGAAATTATTCAATGCATGTTTAAATTGTTTCACAGTGAAAGTGTAGCTACTACTACAAGGATGTCTAAAGATTTCTTCTCATCTAGGATAAAGCCAGGGGTTACTATAAGTGAACATTTAATATCTTTAAACAAAATTAGAGCAGAACTGCATTTAAGGGGGGGAGATAATTTCAGATCAAACAATGAAAAGTGTTATCATGAACTCACTAGACCCATCGTGGGATAATTATATATCACATTTAGACACAATCAATTTAGGATATTTATCCATAGAAAATCTATCTAATAAGCTAATAGTTGAAGACAATTCTAGGAGGAGTCGTTGTAACAATCACATGGAACATAAACAATATAAGAGGGTAGCATTTCAAGAAAGATATCATGAACTAATTGGATGCCACAACTGTGGATCCAAGGAACACAATAGGAGGAATTGTCCTAAACTCCTAAGAGAAAGACAAAGATCAGAATATAGAAATAGATATCACAACAGACAGTCATCCATTGATAGACATAGATATAGAAGTCCAACCAACTATAGGGAACATAGAGGGGGCAGAGATAATTCAAAGGATAGAAGGTCTGGTTCACTGAATGGGTTAAACAAACATGACAATACTAACATACGACAACCAGAGAACAACGATTGGCTTATTGATTCTGGAGCAACTAATCACACTACAAATAATAAAAACATATTATCTTCATTTGTAGAAGACAAATTTGTAATTAAAGTAGCTAATCAAGAAAAAGTTCAAGTCATAGGTAGAGGGAATATAATCTTACCTGGCCTAGGAAAAATAGAGGGGGTATTGTTAATACCTGAAATACCTCATAACATACTTAGTGCAATAAAACTAAGCAGAGATTCTGACATAAATATTGTGTTCTCAAAAGGAAGAGCAACATTAGAGAAAAACAGAATAAGTATAGATACTGTGATTATCAAAGGAGGTCTACCTTATTTAATGACAAAGGAGAGATGGTTACATAACATTGATTCCAATATGGAAGATAACAATGACATAGATAATGGAGGCAATAGTAGTAGTGACAATGAGGAACATGAGGTAATTCATAATCACAAAGACACACCCAATGAAAAAAAGCCTAAAATAGGTAAACCAATTCATGATGAGTGTGCTCATGTCTTACATAGGAAATTAGGACATGCCAGTTTTCCTGTAGTACAAAAGATGACTGAACATGCTGAGGGTGTTAAAATAAAAAATTGTGAAAACTATTTGGAATGCTCAGTATGTAAATCTACAAAACTCAAAACTAGTCCCAAACCCAGAAAGTCAACAAGATCAACCAACAAAAATTTTGATTTGGTACACATGGATCTAGTTGGTCCATTAACGCCATCAATCACATATAGAAAACATTATTTTCTAACCATTGTGGATGACTATAGTCGTTATGGGTTTGTTTATACATTAAAACACAAAGATGAAACTTTTCAGAAATTTAAGGAGTTTTACAAACGTGTAGAAACACAACATAATATTAAAATAAAACAAATCATGACAGATAGGGGATGTGAATTCATGTCAAAGGAATTCTCCCAATGGCTAAAAGACAAAGGAATGTTACATTACACATCTAGCCCCTTCTCTGCATTCCAAAATGGAGTGGTAGAGAGAAAGAACTCAACATTACAAACCATGATTAGATGCACATTAGAGGATGCTGGCTTAGGTAAACAATTCTGGTCAGAAGCTTTACAATATTCCAATTATACACAAAATAGAACTTGGTCCAGCATAGTAAACAAGACACCATATGAAGTAATGTATAATAGGAAACCAAAAATAGCACACATGCACATATTTGGAGTCACTGCAGACGTACACATACCTAAGCAATTGAGACGCAAAGGTGAGAACGTATCCAGAAGACTTAGGTTCATGGGATACGAAACAGGCACAAAAGGATACAGATTTATCGATAGTAATAACAAATTTATAGTTTCCAGGACGGCTGTGTTCCATGAACAGGCCAACTGGTCTAAAATACATCTTAATGAAATATTCCCAAATACCAATCCAGACACTAAACCTCAAGAAAAAAAGACTAGAGAAGAATACAATCACAACGCACATAAAAATAAAATCAAAACATGGACAAACAGTCAACACAAAATAAAGACAGATTCATTAACTAAAAAGGAAGCAAGGTATTTACATGACAATGATAGTAAACCAGAAAGAACGATCAGAAGTAACAGAAATCAAGTGCCAAACAAATACAAAGATTATGTAATGTATATGGATGGAGAAACATCAACACCTAACACATATGAGGAAGTGTTAAAGCTTCCCCCTGAAGAAAAGAAAAAGTGGGAATCAGCCATGACTAAAGAGATGGATAGTTTACGAGAACTAAATGTATTCACACCTACACCTGCACCAAAGGACAAAACTATTATTGGCACTAGGTGGATATATAAAATTAAAAACTTAGAGGGAGGCAACACCTTATACAAAGCTAGACTAGTTGCACAAGGCTATGCACAAAAATATCCCGAGGATTATACAGACACATACTCTCCCACAGTAAGAACCGAGAGTGTTAAGACAGCTCTGGTTATAGCATCAGCACTCAACCTTGATGTATTCCAATACGACATACAGACTGCATATCTACATGCAAAATTAGATAAAGAAATATATGTAAGAGCACCTCATAGTCAATACTCAAACAAAAATGAAACTTGGTTACTAAACAAAAGTTTATACGGGTTGAAACAATCTGGTAAACGATGGTATGAATGTTTAGTAAAAGTACTCAAAACTATGAATTTCAATGCTACTGCTGCTGATAACTGTTTCTTTGTCAAAAAAGAGGGTGATTCTCTAGAATTTGTATTAATTTATGTGGATGATATTTTGTATATAGGTAAACATAAAGAGAGGAGAGAGACATTTGTAACAAAACTAAACGAACATTTCTCTTTGAAATCATTAGGTAAGGTAAATAAGTATCTTGGAGTTCAAATCAGTAAAACAAAAAGGGGATTCAAACTTTCTCAAAGAGACAAAATCATAGAACTTCTGAATAAATGTAATTTAAGTAATGCTAAGCCATGCGACACTCCCATGCAAACTGATTTTTTGAAGAACACAGACGAGTCATCCCCTGAATTTAAAGATAATACGCTTTACAGATCAGTCATAGGTTCCCTTCTATATATTTCCAATTGGACTAGACCTGATATTGCTTTGCCTCTCAACTTATTGTCTAGACACGTCAGCAAACCGTTACTATATCATTGGGAAGCTGTCAAAAGAATATTAAGATATTTAAAGAATAGTTTAGACTTCTGCTTGCTATTGGAACCTAATAATGTTAAAGAGCCCATCCTCACATGTTACGCCGATGCGGATTGGGCTGGCGATACCACATGTAGAAAAAGCACATCTGGTTATATATTTTTCCTTAACGATTGTCCAGTTTACTGGTATACCGGTAAACAAGATTTAGTAGCCACCTCAACGACTGAGGCGGAATATGTTTGTCTGTCTAAGGCCTCAAATAACCTTATATGGTTTAATGACTTACTATCAGACACTTGGAAGAAACCCACTTTACCATTTATCATGCATGAAGATAACAAGGCTGCTATTGAAATATCTAGATCTGATGCTATTGGACAAAGGTCCAGACATATAGATATAAAATTCAAACATGTGAGACAGTTATCTCAGGATGGATTTATTAAAGCAGTTCATTGCGAAACATCAGAGCAAATAGCTGATATATTAACAAAGCCTTTGCCTTCTAAGCAGCATAAATACTTGACTTCTAAGTTACAAGTTTTATATTGTTCTGAATCTGAATGTAATTGTTGTAATATATCGAATCGGCATTTAGAGGGGTATTTGTCACAAGTAAATGCCTTATTCTTCATTATGTAAATAGTACATGATCAGGGTATCAGGGGTTAACTTATTCTTCATTACTTAATGTATTCATATTTCACCACTCCCATATCTAGCTCCACCCATTGTATATATAAGGAGCTGTATGCATTCCTTCTGTGCTTCTATCTGTGATTATTCAGTGAATATAGAATGCCTTCTGTAAATAAACAGTGTTTTATTTGAACTTCTAATTCTCAACTTATTTATTGAGTCTGATCCTGAAAATATCGTAACAGTTTTCAATCAATAAAGGATTTTTGGCCTGCTAAAAGTCAACTTATTTCAGTACTTCTTTCCCAACCAATCACATGTTGGAGTGAAAATTGGAACGATAGAAAGTGTGGCCTCTTTGGAAATCAAGCGCTTCATCAATGAAAGTACGATCATATGGCCAACATCATTTAAACAGGTAACTGAGCCATATCTAAACCCTGATCCTGCATAGGCGTCAAGCACCCAAACCAGCGATGGATTTCAAAAATGTTTACTACCGGTTCTGTGGGTGTGGCTTGGAGGGCATGGCATGGCTTGGTGGGCGTGGCAGGGGAAGGATACTAAAAAATCCCCATTTCCTCCTGATCAGCTGGGACTCGGGAGGTAGAGAATAGATGGGGGCGGGGCCAGTCAAAGGTGGTATTTACCGGTTCTCCGAAGTACTCAAAATTTCCGCTACCAGTTCTCCAGAACTGGTCAAAACCTGCTGAAACCCAGCTCTGACCCACTGGTGGGTTGACCCCGGTTCACACCGGTTCTATAGAATCAGTAGCAAAACTGGTGGGAGGCTCCGCCCACCGACCCGATGTCATCAGAA